GCTCTGTCAGGTCATCTTGAAGTGGGTTCGTTTGGGCGTGGTCGAAACAATGACGTCCCTCAGATGGGTTTCCCATCTGTTTCCAGTCCCGAAACGGGACTGCGGGATCTGCGGTTCATTCTGGACTTGTCCCGTCTGAACCCCTGGATTCATTGCCACTCCTTTTGGATGACCAAGCTGTCCCAGGTTCGGCTCCTGTTGGAGCCGGGCGCTTGGTTGGTGTCCCTGGACCTCCGGAATGCTTATTGGCACGTCCCGATTCATCCGGGGTTCAGGGGCTGGCTCGGTTTTGTTGTGGGGCTTCGTGCTTAACGCTTTCATTGTCTCCTGTTCGGTTTGAACCTGGCACCTCGCATTTTCACGCGCCTCATGCAGGTCGTGGTGACCTGTCTGTGTCTGTTAGGTGTTCGGGTGTTGGCCTACCTCGACGGCTGGCTGGTTTGGGCTTCCATCCAGTCCGCTTGTCTGCTGGCCAGGGATCTGGTTCTTTCTCAGCTTGCCGGGTTCGGGTTCTTGGTGAACTGGAGGAAGTCCCATCTGGTTCCCTCCCAGGTTCGGACCTGGCTGGGCCTTGTGTGACTCTCGGACCGCTTCCTTGTCTCTTCCTCCGGAGTCTCTTCTGCGGCTGCGGTCCCGTATGTGCCTGCTTCTGGGGGCTCCTGGGTCACCTGGCGGTTGCTCGAGGGTCTGTGCGGGAGCCTGAACTTTGCAATGCTGGTCTACCCGTCGGGTCGGGTTTGGCTTCGTTGGCTGTTCTGGTTCCTTTGGGGATGTCCCTTCCTCCTCTCTCACGATTGCTGGGTTCGGATCCCGGGGCTTTGCGTTGGTTGCTGCGTCGCCGGCTTCCTCTTCGGGTTTTTGGGGATTCAGTGCCTTGGCGCCTACCCGAGCCCTCGCTCAATGTGTTCACGGACACGTCATCTCTCGGCTGGGGCTTTGTGACCAGTGCTCACCAGGCCGTCCAGGGACGGTGGGGTCCGTCCTTCCGTCGAGCCCACAGCACTGTGCGGGAGTTCGCGGCGGTGTGGTTTGCTCTTCAGAGGATTCGAGACGGCTTGTCTCGTTTTATTCCCCCTCTCTATGGACTGGATGGTCGATGCCGACTTCTTCCGTTGGCTTTGCCAGACGTTCAGACACCTTGAGATGGACCTCCTCGCGTCGGCGTGGTCGCGGCGCCTTGCCCTATATGTGGTGCCCTTTCCCGACTGTGAGGCCGTCCGGGTCAACGCCTTTCGGCAGGACTGGTCGAAGTGGGAGTTCCTGTTCCTCTTTTCCCCGGTTCAGCTGTTGCTCTAGGTCCTGACTCGCTTGGAGACTTACCAGGGGAGAGTTGTCTTCTTGGCCCCTTGGTGGCCGGCCCAGCCGTGGATTCAGGCGCTGCTTACTCTGTGTCTGAACTTGGAGGTTTTTCCACAGCTCCGCCTCTTCCAGCAGATCGGACCGGTACATCATGTGGATGGTGCGATCTTCATGTATGGTATTTTTGACTCGTGTTTATCATCATCTCTATGGTGATCAGGTGGCTTCCTTAAGGGGGCGTCTGGTTGGCATCTGGGTCCAAAAATGCAAAAATGAAAACTCATTCGATTTCAATCAAACTTTTTTGACAAGTTCTATATGAAAAGTGTTTCATCTGGTCCAAGTTTCAGCAATGTAGCATAAATAGGAAGGGAGAAAAAAAATATTGAAGTAGTTGTGAAAATTATGCAAAAATGGTCAAAATCGATTATCAATCAAAAGTGTCAACTGAAATCATAACTACAACTCTTTGCTATCACAATAGCATATATTAAACAAATATTATAATTAGTTTAATTGGAAAAAAATTTTAAGGAAAAAAAAAAAGGATTTTTTTTCTTTTTTTTTAAATATTTTTTTTTTCATTTTTTTTTGGGCGATTTGCATCAAACTTACACACCTGACTGTACGTAACCCTATCTGTAAGGATGCCAATTTTGGAGAAAATTGGTTGATGTCAACCCCAGCCACAGATTTTAGAACCTTAGACTTTATTCATTTCTGTTTTTTTTTCAATTGACACAAACGTTTACAAAACTGATTCCTTTTTTATTCAATTTACATGAAACTTACACAGTATATGTGGAGGGCATGTCTCTACATTGGGGGGCTTTCATTTTTCTCTAAGTTCATTTATTGATTTTATAATAGCAATAAACATGCCATATTTGCAAAAAAATTTGGGGGAACTTTGAACATTTGTATTAGGAAAACTAAAGATGTTTTGGAAATTCTAAATCCCCAAATCCTTTATTATATGCTAATGTGTCAGAAAAGTGTCACAGAATAATTTTATCTGAAACGTGTGTTCTGAAGTGTGGACTTGAAAATGTGTAAAAAACGTTCAAAAAAAAAAAAAAAAAACTCCCTTTCTATTTACGCTGCAGTACTGAAACTTGGGACAATTTAAGCACTTTTCATATACAACTAGAAAAATAATATTGGTTGACATTGAACAACTTTCATTATAATAACCAGACACCCCCTTAATAGTGTCCCATCTGCGGGCTTCGTCTCGGCAGCAGTATGAGGTTTCCTGGCGGTCCTTCCAGTTCTTCTTACGTCTTCGTCGTTTTTTTTTTAGTTTAGTTCATTTATTATGCACCCCATACCCATCTTGTGGGCGGTAGTGGAAAGGGTTACAGAGGCACATAATGGGCTCAGGGACTGAACCCCACAATTCATTTAGCTAAGCAAGTTACAATCTTGATGAGCTAGTTACAAAATTCAGGGATCTGGTTCTTTCTCAGCTTGCCGGGTTCGGGTTCTTCGGTCCGAACCCGGCAAGCCGGGTATAAGTCGTCACATCAACGACTTTTACTGAGTTTTGTAACTAGCTCATCAAGCTCGTCTTCGTCTTTGTACTTCGCTTTCTGTTAGGGTGGTGTTGTCCTTTCTCTCTTAGTTGTTCCAGGACCGTCTCCTTTATGCCTAACACTGTCGCCTTGTATCGTGCGGCGCTGGCGGAGCCGCTTCAGCTTGCTGTCTTTATTGATGTCACGTTTGTACCATTTTGCAAGCTGTCTCCGGCTTTGTTTCACCTCCGGCCTCCTCATGCGCCACGTGAGCTGTCCTGGTCATTGGACAGAGTGCTCTCTTTTCTTTCTTCTCCTCGTTTTGTCGTGGCCCCTTCGGTTCCGGATTGTTTTTCGAAGGCTCTTTTCTTGTTGGCATTGGCCTCTGGGGGGTCGGATAGGTGAGCTTCACGCTCTCCTCTGGCGCAGAGGTTTCTGCTCCTTCAGTCGGGGTGATCGGTTTGTTCGTCTGCAGCCGCCTTTTTCTTTTCTAGTGAAGAATGAGACTGCTGCTTTCCGGAGGACTCCCTGGGTTGTTGATGCTTGGTTTGTTAGGCCTTGGGGTGCATCATGTTTTGTGTCCGGTTGCAGCTCTCTCCCGTTATTTGTGCGCCACGGCTTCTGTGTCTGTGGACGTGCTTTGGGTTGGTCCGGTTTCCCTTCTTCCCCGTTCGACGGTGCGAGTCTCCCAGGTCGTCTGCAGGGTTAAGGCTAGCCAGCCTGCGGTCTATCCCTGTGCCCATGATGTCTGCAAATTCGGGGCTCTTGCCGTTGTCTTGGGCAACATGTCCTGGTCTGACCTTTGGGAGCGGGGTTTTTGGTGGTCGAACAGGGTCCTGTCAGCTGCGCAGACAGCGGCGCGGTGATGTGTGACGTCATACTAGTTGCTCGTTTCTGTTTGAGGAGTTTTATCCCCTAGTTCGGCATTTGTTAGCAGTTCTCACTAGAATGGGTTTGTTTTGGGACGCTTACCTTTCTCGGTGCCTGACCCAGTCGATGGCAGACATAGAATGCTTCCAACCACACGGGGGTTTCTATAGGCCATTGCTTCCCTTGCCTCTCTGAGGGGGCCAGGTTCTGGCTCGTGGTCCCCGGTAGGCCCTTTGAACTCCATACACATGACTGATGCCAAAGTCTGACATTAGCATATCAGCCTGTATAACTCCGGGGAGCCTCTGGGTCTCACCCAGAAAATGGCATTTCATTACATTCAGCGCTGGGTTTTTTTCATTTGAGGTGGAGCTTCTTTTGCAAGGGGAAAGGGTTTTCGTAACCCCCATAACACACTGTTACCTAGCAGTAAAATAGGTACCTGGGTGTTAGTCAGCTGTCACGGACTGCTTCCTGGGGGTGGAGGCCTGGTCGAGGACTGGGCCGCGGGGACACTAAAAAGCCCCGAAATCATCTCAATATAACCCTCAAGATAACCCCCCCTTGCTGTACAAGTTTGACTTGTTTGAACCGTGGCTACATGGTTCAGTTTCAGAAGCCTGCACACCCGTGTTGTCTTTCCAGATGTTTCTATCCTCCCGTGACCCTCCTGCAGTGACTCAGAAGGCCCTCTTTATGTTCCTCCTGCAAAACCCAGATTATGCCTCACTGATGGACCCTTCCTCATTTGAGTTTGGGTCTCCCTCTCCTTATTGGAAGCATTACAAGACATCAGAGTCTTCCTGGCTACTGGACAATCTCTTGTTTTTGCTTGGGGCTTAGCGCAACTTTTATTATACCCGCATGCTGGAGTGGAGCAAGGTGTTGACCATGCTTCAGGTGTTTTGGGGGGCTCATCTTTTTACATCTCAACGACTGCTGTTTGTTCCTGCTCTCTTGGGATGTGGGTCTCCTGCAGCTCCCTGTCCAGGTTTCCTTGTTGTCGGCTGTGCTCATGGGGGATGACCTTTGCATCTGTCTGCATCAAGGTTCCATTGTGTGTTTCTTATTACTCCTTGAGCTGCATTCTGATTGGCTCATTGAGGAAATTGATGACTCGGTGAGGAGCCACTTGCCGGGGTGGGGGGGGGGAGTGGTCATACCCTTCACTGTTGATGCGTCGGCTGCCTTCCACAAGCTGTATGCTTCAGTGCATCAATGGTGGTAGCCACATTCTCAGCAGAAAAAATTATATTGTATTCCACTTTTATACATAGAACTAAGAATATTTTTTACTGACACACAAATGTTTTTCAGTTGTTGCTGACTGTGGTGACATTGGTGGTAATTTTTCACATGAGTACCATTATCAGACAGCAATTGGAGAGGATATTCTGCTGCTTTGTAATGCCTGTGGTTTTACTGTCAACTCTGAACTGGTTGCTGATGCAGATAATGCTTCTTGCTCCATCTGTGGTAACCAGTTGACCAAAACTCAAGGAATAGAGGTATGTTATGATCATGTATATTTGTTCATATTAACACTCACATTTCAACAGCACAATAATGCATCATCTGCTGTTTATATTTTGTTCTGACATTGTGTTAACACACACTTTACCACCACCTCACACGCCGGTTAAAGTCGCCTCACTCCCTTGGTCACTGCGAGAAAATTGTGTGTTAATTGCGTATATATACTTGAGAATGTCGTCCCCCACAAAAGATATTCTTGAACATTTGGTTAAATATTATGAGTAACTATTATTCTCTAAATTAACCTGAAAATAAATTCAAATGACTACCTTTTAAGTTTTATCCAGTAATACTTACATTTGTAAATATGAGAGATTCAGTGATAAGTTGATTAATTGGAGATTATGGATTTAGTTATCATTGTCGTTTAACAGCTATTACTGTATCATCCACTGAAGTCTATTAATTTGTTCGGTCAGTAATTTAGTACGCTATATTATTTCATTGATCACATATTCAATCAGCTATTTGATTTATTATTAATTTCTTACAGCTGTGATTCAGTAGAGATCAGCTTTATATGTATTCATGTTTTGATTTCTATAGTAGTATTAATTAATTTATCTTTTCTGTTCACTTTCATTTAAGGATTAATTTCATTAACCCCTAAACTGTGCAAAACGTCATATGAAGTGTGACATTGAACTCAGTTTTTTTTCAATTTACTGAAACTCTTTCAAATGTTTTGTGCATAATCTAATAGGCAAATGCTCCAACTTTGTCCAAATGATACCAGTGTAACTTGAGAATATAGGTTTTCAGTATAGTTTATTGTAAAGAAAAATTTGTCAATGTGGTATTTGAAAAATGCAAAAATTTAGACAGCAAAAATTTATAACTCCAAACGTTTAGAGTTTATGAAAAATCAATTCTATAGGGATTGTAGAACAGACAACTGTGCACACTATATGTAAAAATGATGAGAATCGGTCAGAAACTAGATTTTTGGATACTGAAGTAAGTTGAAATTCTAGTTATAGATATAATTGAAGTTGAAGTTATCGACAATGAATAAGGCAGTTCTAATTCATGAATTTACTTGTATATTTTCATAAACATTGTTTGGCATTCGTACACAAATATGTGAAAGTTGTAGGTCACTATGTGTTGAAATGAAGTCAAGAAAAAATACCCCCCCTCCCCAAAAAAATAAAATATAGGGATAATTATAATGATTTAGGGGATATATTTAGGGTATACTTTATATAAGTAAAAAAGCCTAATCTGGTCCCTAATCATCAAAACAACCTAATGAAACAAGGAAAATAGTTTGAAATCTGTGAAAAATCAGGCAAAACAAATTCAAAGTCCCAAGTTCTGAGAGTTGTGATTTATTTAGTGACCAATTTAATTCTGTCTTCACATGGTTAGGGACGGTTATGTTCTCTCCTTGATGTAAAGGTTACAACAAATTCAAATAATAAACAAAGGAGGAAAAACTAAAAATCTAAAAAAAAATTTCCCCTAAAAAATATTTTTTGGACATTGTTGAAAGTAACTGCTAATAACATTGGGCAATGTATTTATATGATATATAACAAAATAGAGCATAATAACATACTTACTCATTATTATTTGTGTTATTATGAATTACTCACCAATGCTATAAAGGCTCCAGCTGCATATCCACTTTATGCACACTTCTTACAACTATTCTTGTTCTTTGAGCATCAGACAGGTGCTTGCATATCTTTATTACTGCATAATCCTTCAGTTCCAGTTAATAGCAGCTGTTCTCTTTATCAACAAAACATTCTTTTCTGGGTGGAGCCCCGTCGGCTCCCCGGAGCTTTACCAGGCTGATATGAATAACATATTCTAATGTCAGACTTTGGCATCAGTCATGTGTATGGAGTTCTAGGGCCTACCGGGGACCACGGCCAGAACCTAGCCCCCCCTCAGAGAGGCAAGGGGAGCAATGGCCTATAGAAACCCCCGTGTGGTTGGAAGCATTCTATGTCTGCCATCGACCGGGTCAAGCATCCAGAAAGGTAAGCATTCCAAAACAAACCCATATTCTGGTTAAATTTGCTACCAAAAGCCAAACTAGTGGATGGAACTCAACAGAAAACGAGCAAACTAGTATGACGTCATACGTCACCGCGCCGCTGTCTGTGCAGCTCCCCCCTCCCCGGGAGGGGGAAGGGGGAGCCCCAGACCTCTCACGCCGGCTATCCACCCATCAGTTCTTCGGCGGATGCTATAGGCACCGGTTGTGTGCTCCGGCTCCAATAGTTGTTTCAGCACTGTACCTAGAGTGTGGTGTCTGTCTTCTAGGTGGTGTGTGAGCCGGGAGTGAGTCTCCAGTACTCGGGATGCATGCGCCTAGGGTTCCCTTCCCTAGGTGCCTTGTAAGTACTGCCCTTGGTGCTTGGGGCCACCTTCCACAAGTTCCTTGGGTTCTGCCCCTGCTCGGTCATTTACTGCTTGGTTTTCGGCCGCTCTTTGTGTGCTCGGGTGTTCTGTCTCCCTTTTTCACCTTAGGGTAAGGGGCAGTTTTGCACTGGTGGGGTGCAGGGTACTGTGCAGCTTGTTTCCACCAATCATGGCGGCCGGCTCTGTTCCGCTTGGGTACGCTGTCCTCTTGCATGGTGTTACGACCCTGGGTTCTTCAGTTGGAAACCAGAGGTCAAATTGAGCTCTAAATAATTACTTTAAATTAATGGATAGGAATGCTGATGTGCTTTTGTTCCTATCTTCCTTGCCAGACGTAAGACGAATCTTGTTTCTCACAGAGCATGCCAAAGTCTGACATTAGCATATCAGCCTGGTAAAGCTCCGGGGAGCCTCCGGGTCTCACCCAGAAAATGGCGTTTTGTTACATTCAACACTGATTTTTTTTTAAATATTCGTCTTAAATCAATTTCTGAAAAAATTTTGATGAAATTTTCATGATGCTGAAGCCAATAAGTTGTAGATTTGTTTAACATTTTTAAGTCATTTCTGGGGGGAGCCCCGTCGGCTCCCCGGAGCTTTACCAGGCTGATATGCTAATGTCAGACTTTGGCATCAGTCATGTGTATGGAGTTCTAGGGCCTACCGGGGACCACGGCCAGAACCTGGCCCCATCAGAGAGGCAAGGGGAGCAATGGCCTATAGAAACCCCCGTGTGGTTGGAAGCATTCTATGTCTGACCGGGTCAAGCATCCAGAAAGGTAAGCATTCCAAAACAAACCCCTATTCTGGTGAAAATTGCTACCTAAAGCTGAACTAGTGGATAGAACTCCTCAACAGAAAACAAGCAAACTAGTATGACGTCATACGTCACTGCGCCGCTGTCTGCGCAGCTCTCCCCTCCCCGGGAGGGGGAAGGGGGAGCCCCAGACCTCCCATGTCGGCTATCCACCCATCAGTTCTTCGGCTGATGCTATAGGCACTGGTTATGTGCTCCGGCTCCAGTGGTTGTTTCAGCACTGTACCTAGAGTGTGGTGTCTGTTTTCTAGGTGGTACGTGAGCCGGGAGTGAGTCTCCAGTACTCGGGCTGCATGCGCCTAGGGTTCCCTTCCCTAGGTGCCCTGTAAGTACTGCCCTTGGTGCTTGGGGCCACCTTCCACAAGTTCCTTGGGTTCTGCCCCTGCTAGGCCGTTTACTGCTTGGTTTTCGGCCGCTCTTTGTGTGCTCGGGTGTTCTGTCTCCCTTGTTTGCCTTATAGTAAGGGGCAGTTTTTGCACTGGTGGGACGCAGGGCAGTGCAGCTTGTCTTTACCAATCATGGCGGCCGGCTCTGTTCCGCTTGGGTACGCTGTCCTCTTGCGGGGTTTTCTGTTTCTTTTTGTTTATCTACCTGGTGCGGGGGTCTGCCTTCGTTCTTGCCCCTTGTGTCCCTTATGTTCTGAGTATTTTCTGGTGGTACCCCCTGCTAGGTCCCCGTGAGTGTACACGTCCCGGGGGTTCAGCTCTTAGAAAGTTGTTTGGTAGCTTTAGGTGCCGGTTAGCAGTACCCTGCCTGGGATTACCTGAGCGCGAGTCCTCTTATAGTAAACGCTCGGGACCCTGGGAAACCCCCGGGGGCGCGCGGGTCCGATGGATGTGACCCCAGAGTCCCCCCTCACTTCCAGCGAGTTTGAGGGTTGCTCTCACCCTTTGTCTCTGGGTGACTCTGTTTTGCCTCTGTCTGCTGCCTGTGGGGTCGGTGACACCTTCGACCCGGAGTCCTGCGAGTTTGGTTGCTCGTTGTGGCTCGGTTACCCAGTTGTGCTGAATAAGCGGGTGCGGGCAGCAGGGATGTTGCACTTGAGCCTTGGTGGTGGCAACGTTCTCGTGGTTACTCCCCGGGAGCCCCGGGGCTGCCCCGTTTTGGTTCGTTTTGGGACTTGGGGGTGTTGGTTGCTTCGGTTCCATCCACGCCCCCTTGTCTTTCCCCTGGATCGCCCTTCCTGCCTGCATCCAGTTCCTTACCGTCTGTAGGTTCGGGGCGGGGTTTTGATGGTGTTGAGACTCGGGCAGTCTTGGGGAATTCCCCTTTCGGGGTAGTGACAGGGGCATTTGAGCCTGTTCCTCCAGCCGTGTTGTATGAGTCTGCCAGTGGGCTCCCTTCCTTAGTGTTTTCACAGCTGCCCCGGTTTTCTGGTACGGCCGGGGCTTTGGGGGAACGGCTCGGCCCTGGGGCCTGTCGTGTAGGTTCCCGGGCTGGGGAGGGGCTGACTTGGGGGGCCTTGGCCTAGTTGGACCCCGTGGGTTTTTTTATCCCCCTCTAGGCGGGGCTTGTGGTTACGCGGAGTGGGGTCTTTCCTCCCCACTCGCCGTACGTGCTGTTGGGCGTCGGCCCCTCCCCGGGCTCGGTTCCATGGCCTTTGAGTTGGTTGGTTCCGTCCTGTGGGTGGATGTTTCCTCCCACCCTTTTTTTGGGGACGGTGTTTTCGTCATGTTTCCCCGTTCTTGGGGTTCTACGTGACTTCTGGTCTCGGGTGTGCCTGTGCCTTTGTGTGCCTTCGGGACTAGTGTTGGTTTCTGTGTTCTTGAGGGTTCGGGA